TAATTATGTGATAGAGACTCCAGATAGGCGGCGGAAGACCCAGCTGTGCCACGTCAACCTCCTGAAGCAATATAATGGTACTCCTCCCACTGTCTTGACTAATTATTCCACATTCACAGAACCCTACATCCACAGTGAGACCTTCCCAGCTTCTCCTCCCGAAAGCACTGACAAGGAGTCAGCGCTTTCTAATTCCGAAATCCTTAATGATCTTCCCAAATACTTTCAGGATAATCATAGTGCACCTCTCGTCAAGATCTTCAGAGAACATCAAGAGTTGTTCAGAGATGATCCCCAAGAGTGTAATGTTACCCAGCACGACATCCAACTGCTCCCCGACACCCGGCCGATTCGTCAACCCTTCTACCGAATCAGCCCGAGCAAGAAGGAAGTCATGCGTGCTGAGGTGCAATACCTCTTGGATCATGGACTGGCTACACCTTGTGAGTCCCCCTGGGCCTCACCTTGTATCTTGGTGCCCAAACCCCAAGGTAAGGTGCGGTTGTGCACTGACTATCGAAAACTGAACTCTGTCACTGTCAAGGATGCTTACCCCTTGCCAAGGATAGATGACATCCTTGATGCCATTGGTAGTGCCCAGTACTTGTCCCAAGTGGACTTGCTTAAGGGGTACTATCAAGTGTGTCTAACGGAGCGCGCTAAAGAGATATCTGCCTTCATCACTCCTTTTGGACTTTTCAGATATGAACGCCTTCCTTTCGGACTATGTAATGCCCCGGCCACCTTTCAAAGAGCTGTCAACCGTGTCATCCAGGGCTTGGATAACACATACGCCTACCTGGACGATATCGTCGTAGCCTCCAACTCCTGGAGTGAACATCTGCTCCAGCTGCGACGTCTGTTCTCCAAGCTCCTGACAGCCGGCCTCACCATCAACCTGGGCAAGTCCACTTTCGCGAAAGGTAAAGTGCGTTATCTGGGTCATGTTATTGGGAGTGGCAGCATAGCTCCGTTAGACTCACACACTCAAGCCATCCTACAGTATCCACAGCCTACCACCAGGAAGCAGCTCCTGCGCTTCCTTGGTCTTGCCTCTTACTACCGTAGGTTTGTGAGGAATTTCAGTACAGTCGCCACACCTCTAATTCTATTAACCAGTCCCAAGCAACGGTATAATTGGACCATGCAGCAAACCGTTGCTTTTGAACAACTCAAATTCCTCCTCTGTTCTAACCCCATTCTCGCCTCTCCAGATATCACCAAGCCTTTCGTCCTTCATGTCGACGCCAGTGGTACCGGCGTTGGTGGTGTCCTGATGCAACAACGAGGCGAGGAGGTTCTACCTGTCAGCTACTACAGCTACAAACTGAAACCACACCAGAGGAACTACAGCACTATTGAAAAGGAGCTACTATCCATCGTCCTGAACCTCCAACACTTCGCTCCGTACCTACAAGGCGCCAGGTCTACCACCATCTTCTCAGACCACAACCCTCTCCGCTTCCTACATCAAGCCCAATTCACCAACCAGCGTCTTCTACGATGGGCTCTGTATTTACAAGACTTCAACCTGGAGATCCGCTATATCAAGGGTTCTGACAACACCATAGCCGATGCCCTCTCCAGAGTTTATGAAGTAGAAGCGACTCCATCCATTACTCCACCACATAACGACGTACTTCTTCCAGAACCGCAGGCTTCGGGGGAGAGTTGTGACGATAATCTCCTTCAAGAGATTGAGCCTGCTCTTCCCTCCAAAATTACGTCTTCACAATTATATAAAAAGACTATGGAAGAAATGTCCAACAACGACAACAACACCAGCACCAGCAAGGCTTGCCAGGGTGAGCAGAAACGTATGCAACCAGCCACCTGTTCGAACTCCAACCACCAAACTACCCGTTGACCGCTACGACTCCGCTGATTGGACGCCGGTCTGGCTGCACCTGCACTCACCCCCAATACTACCTGATGTCTGGGGTCGCCCCAACATCAGTCCTCAGAATGTTCAGTGCTTTCGTAGCCAGCACACCTCCCAGCTAGACTCTAGAGTGTACTGAGAGAGGTGGTGGCTTTAAGCCAATATTCCAGCACCTCCCACTTACCTTTGTGTTGCACTTCTTGTTACTTTGCCTTAACGTAACTTTCATTGTGTCATTTAAGTATTCTTATTATTTTGATTCATTGATTTTATTATACATATTTGTTTGTCCATATTTTCATGTTTTGATTTATTTAACGTAATTAAAATTTCATTGTTAAAGTTTTACTTGTGTTTTGTGTGTCTTCTCCTTACCTTACCACAGACGAAGTTCCAGTTTTTCTATTTTTTTTTATAACTATGTGACGAGGCCATACCCCTAGCCTTAAACAGCCGAACACCAACGCGTTACCGTCACAATATATATATATATATATATATATATATATATATATATATATATATGTATATATATATATATATATATATGTATATATATATATATGTATATATATATATATATATATATATATATATAGTGCTGTGCTCGCATTTAAATCGTCAATCATTACTATGTGGCTGCTATCGCGGGGGAGGATACTGCTTGACAGTATTTATGAGGGTGTCCGGCTGCTGTACACCTTTTTTGACCAGAAGAGTGGCTGTGTTGATGGCTTCAGGGTGGTTACTGCATGATTCAGAGACTCTTAAATCTCCTCTATGGTCGTTGGTTGCTTCACATTCCATGAGATAGTGAAGTAGTGGTTTTTCTGTGATTGTTTGACAGAAGATGCATTTTCTCTGTCTGGGTTCACTAATTTCCCAGCTGCATCTGTAACCTAGACGTAGTCTATATAACCGAACCGCTATTTTCATGTGGATTCATTTCGGGATATTCTAACTTGGTGGCCTGAAGATACCATATTGCAGAGGGTGAACCTTCTACTACTCTCTTTTGTTGATGGGCTTTGTTGAAGTGTGCGAGTTTTTTGGTGATGATTTTTTTTATGTACTCTACTATATGCTCGATTCTTTTGTTGATTGACGAGTTGCCAATTTAGCAGTTTCATCGGCCTTCTCATTTAAAGGGATTCCAATATGCGATGTGACCCAATTTACGGTGAAGTCAAGTCCTTTGCCTTTAGCTACTGCTCTTAGATACAAAATTGTGTTACTTATTTCCACGTTGTCTTTCCACTGCTTTTTCTCAATATCTGAAGTGCTGCTTTTGAATCTGTGTGTCTGTTGTTGCATTTTAAGTGTTTTGTGCAATCACATATGCGAATGCCTGTTGCATGGCAATATACGTATGAATGAGGTTAGACATATATGAATCAGATTTTGTGGATATATATTGGAAGTGCCTCATATGGGCCAATAGGCCTTCTGCATTTACCTTCATTCTTATGTTCTTATATCCACCCAATTTCATTCATATATATGTCAATCCTACACTTGAAACAATCAAGGCATCTACTTCTATTATGTTACGTGGTAATTGGTTCAACAAATTGGTTCCGCGGTAATTGAAAGGGCGTGTTAGCTGGAGTTCCGATTGTATCATGATTCTAAAGATAGAAGGTTTAGTGAGTGAACTGGTGCTAGTGTGGGAGCTATGTGGAGCTCTGAGGTCAGAGTGGGAGTCCCTGCGGGAGGAGCTACGACAACTGAAACAACGTCAGGAGGAAACAAAGGAGGAGAGCAGTATTATAAAGTCTTCGCCTCGGAATGTCGCGAAGGACAGGGGTCTTAAGAAGACTCTGGCAAGGCCGCCTACAGATGTCCTAAAAAACTTCCAACTCATTCGCCGTGCTGGAACACCAGTGCTGTAGGGAGCTTGCAGTTCGCTCAAAAGGCAAGGCATCAGAGGGAGCACAGGTCCCTGAAGGTGCTCATACTGTAGGAAGTAGCTAAGCAAATTTTGGTTGTGTGAGATTCCCAGGTGAGGTAAATGGATAGAACTTTTTGTGCCAGAGATAGGGGGAACAGGTTAAGGGTTTGAATGCCCGGGAGCAGGAATTGGTGATATTTTTAGCAACAAGAATGATAATATGGCTAAAAAGGGGAACAAACCCAATATTTGTATCAGTGCAGGTGGAAATGATGTAGGACTAGGAGTGAGGCACTGATACAGAGGTTTAAGACAGCCATAGAATTAGTTAGGAGCAAGGGAGGAATCCCGATCATATGTGACATTCTACCAAGAAAGGGAGTTGGAAATGAATGGTTGTCGAGGGAACGTAGTGTCAATTGCCGACTGGACATAATATTGCAAATCAAATGCAATATCATTCATTGATAACTGGGAACACTTCTATGGAAGGAATGGCATACATGTATGCTCGAAATGGGGTGCATTTATCCAGGGCTGAGGTTGTTGCTGTTGCTAACTCGTTGGAATCTGCGGTTGGAGGAGTTTGTTTGGGTTTAACCTGTTAGCAGATAGTGGTATGGGAATTAATATGGAGAAAGGAGGCAATAAAAGTATGTGTTGGTGGGGTGGGGGGAACTTGTATCAGTTCCTCTCTCCTACATCATTTCACCTGCACTGATACAAATAATGAATTTGTTACCCTTTCCAGCCATAATAATATTCATGTTGTTAACAATATCACCAATTCCTGCTCCCGGAGAGCAAACCCTTAACCTGTTCTCCACCCCCCCCCCCTATCTCTGGCACAAAAAGATCTATTCATATACCTCACCTGGGAATCTCGCACAACCAACGTTTTCTTAGCAACTTCTTTTACTTTGTGAGAACCTTGAGGGACTTGCACTCCCTTCGTTGCCTGGCCTTTCAAGCAAACTGCAGGCTCCCTACCGCACTCGTCTTCCAGCACGGCGTATGAGTTGTAAGTTTTTAGGACACCTGTAGGAGGCGTTGCCAGAGTCTTCTTAAAACATTCCATGGCGAAGACTTTCTAATACTGGTCTCCTCCTTTGTTTCCTTTTGGCCGTTACCTTCATTCTTATGTTCTTATGTTGTGTAACAGGTTCAACGAGTTGGTCGGACAAAACAGAGTAAGAGGTAAATCTCATGGCTATTGTATTCCAGGTACAACGAGTCGGACACAGCCGATAAGAGGAGACTTTCATGGCGTTTGAGTTTGATGACGTACTGGAGCAGATCGGCTCCTTCGGTCGCTACCAGAAGTTCGCCATCTTCATCTTACTCTTCCCAAGCGGCTTCTTCAGTGCTTTTATGGTTGGTGATTGTATATATAATAATCATCCCCCATGGAGAGGGGTAACCGGGATTGCTTGATTATCACCTCCTCTCTCTCTCTCTCTCTCTCTCTCTCTCTCTCTCTCTCTCTCTCTCTCTCTCTCTCTCTCTCTCTCTCTCTCTCTCTCTCTTCTCTGTCTCTCTGTCTGTCTCTCTCTCTCTCTCTCTCTCTCTCTCTCTCTCTCTCTCTCTCTCTCTCTCTCTCTCTCTCTCTCTCTCTCTCATTACTGACAATGGCGAAGAGATGAGTACTATTTTAAATAACTATTTTATCTCTGTAGTTACTAAAGAGGAACTTAATATTATGCCTTTAGCCAAACAAATCTATGTTGGGGGGAAGAGGACAGGTTAGCAGTTACGTAACAAGTTTTCACCAAATTTATTGGGAGAGGGCTTCTCTAATAACGAATTGTAAAACTATTTTCAATTGGAACATTATTGAATCTGCGTTAATACAGATTACAAAGTCATGTAATTTCAATATTAGCAGTGGTTTGTATAATTTAGATACAATTTTAATTTATCAGTTAGAAGGCATTTAGAGTAGGATCAATGATGCACATTTACCTCACTAATACCTTATTAATTCCATTATCTCTTTAAGTGACAGTGAGTCTTTATCCATATTTATTTCCCTCCCGATTTTTGTATTATCAGCAAATTTGCAAATATTGCTGCTCAAATCTGAATCTAAAACATTTATATATATATATATATATATATATATATATATATATATATATATATATATATATATATATATATATATTATGAATAACAGAGGTCCCAGGACAGAGCTTTGAGGCGCTCCACTTACAACATTTTTCCGCTTTGACTTAACCCTATTTATACTAACTCTTTGTTTCCTTTGGTATTGCCATGCCCTAATCCAACTTAATATAGCACTCCCAATACCGTGAGCTCTATCCTTTTACTCAGTCTTTCATGTGGCACTGTAAACATATGTTGTTGAATATGTCCGAAAGGGAAAGAATATTCATTCCAACATGAATCTTCTCAATATTTCTTATGTTATTTTTTCACTGACGAGGGAAGTTGAAAAATTAGCTCTCCAAAGTTAATTTTCACAATTTATTACGGTCTGATGCCTAGGGGATGCATTTCCCAAGGTGCGCCTTACATTTTCAAAGACAAATTTACACTACTCTAGCAAGAGCTCTCTCTAGGCGATTAACAATGCACAAGCAACAAGGCTCCATCTAGGAGCATATAATCTCTTCACATAACCAGACCATCACCAGAGACTTCTTAACACGCAACATTGAAATAATCGACAAGTATAACGATAACGGAAGACTGGACATCTGTGAGGTCCTACATATCAAGAAGTAAAGACCAGCAATCAACAACCAGTTAACACATCATTACATTCTACCCCTTCAAGACCCCGAACCAACACAGAGACATTAGAAGCAAGAACATGAGCTGCTTATGCTCATGCATGTAATAGCCTATTAAAATCCATTCATCCACTTGTTCACCTCCATCACGTCTTGTACCACCTCACCTCAAGACAATATGAGCTCTTGCTAAAGCATTGTGAACTTTTTACAAGCTCACTATAGCCCGTGCTACATGGACATTTCGTTCTGAGTAGCTAAATCTAAAACAACAACAGCATTGTAAATTTATCTTTGAAAATGTAAGGAAAGCCTTGCGAAATGCATCAGTAGGCGACAGACCATAGTAAATTATAAAAATGAACTGTGGAGTGTTAATTTTTCAACTTCCCTCATCAGTGAAGAAAAACATAAGAAATAATGCGAAGATTCATGTAACAATCACTAGTCTTACCCTTTCGGTCATATTCAACAACATACGTTTACAAGAAAAACTTCTACCAAAATATACTAATAATATATATATACCGAGCAACTGCAATACGCTTAGAAGCTGCAATAACACCACATGACATTGACTGACTTAGAGCTGTAGCAGATCCCCATGTAGGTGACTTCTTGTTAGCAACCCCAATGTCAGCAATCGGTACGAGTCTCACACCGCAGGCTTTCTGAATTGCTTTGGCCCTCCTCCTTGCTGCCCCAATCTACACCGAATATAGTTGTAATTGCGGCGAGACAGTGGCAGACAGGTACCGCCGACATGACCTTCTCTGCCAAAGCACAGGAGGATGGCATGCAAGACACAGCGAGGTAAATAACATTATTAATAGGAGCCTTACCACAATGAGCTGTCCAGCAGAGAGAACCTCGTTTCCTAATGCCCCGCAAATCTGACGAGCCTGCCGGTTGCCCATACGGGATAACAGTGAACCGCTGGAAGTATGGTAGAAAGTTGGTATGGAACAACACGTGCGTTTCAACTTTAGTAAACGTCTATTTTGACTTCTGTATTGCACAGGCAGACGATGCTGCAAATCACCGGGAAGCAGCCACGTCTCGTAAATATAGCGATCTTGATCACTACTACAATTTTGTCCCCATTGCCTCAGAGACACTTGGTGCCTTGGGTAAAAGTGCTGCTAGTTTTTTAAGGAACTGGGTTCTAAAGTTATTGAAACCACTAGAGACGCTAGAGCCGCCAGTTTCCTCTTCTAGCACCTAAGTGTGGCAATCCAAAGAGGAAATGCACAATGCATCCTTGGTTCCTGCCCGCCATCTGAGGAACTGGAGGAGTTCTAAAACCTGTGACAACTAGCCTTGTACCTTGCATGTAACCAATGTTGTAACCCTTTTGGTGTAATGAAGTTTTAAATAAAATAAATTGACAAAATACAATATATATATATATATATATATATATATATATATATATATATATATATATATATATATATATATATATATATATATATATATATATTAAATATGACCGAAAAAGTAAGATTAATAATTCTAACACGAATTTTCTCAATCTTTCGTACATTTCGTTTCACTGTTGGAGGTAAATCAAAAATCAATTCTCCAAAATTAATTTTTATTTCTAGTCTGACGCGACACGAGCGCGTTTCGTAAAACTTATTACATTTTCAAAGACTTTAGTTCACAAATACACAACTGAATAGAACTTACGCATCTCCGATTTTATATCTACATTTGACTGAGGTGGAAGGGGTGATGTGGCATTAACACAAGACAGAACAAGATATGGTATTAATAGGATACATCAGCGGATACAACTAACGATTTACTATAAAACCAAAAAAACGGCCAGCCTACTCATGAGAAACTCTCCAGACACAAAACAGAACGCTTTAAAAGAGACTAACGTCGTCTATGCCTTCAAATGCCCTCTTGGGGACTGTAAGCTCCAAAAAACCCAGTATATAGGCAAGACAACAACATCTCTTTCTAGGCGTTTAACGATGCATAAGCAACAGGGCTCCATTAAGGAACATATAATCTCTTCCCACAACCAAACCATCGCCAGAGAAATCCTAGTAAACAACACAGAAATCATCGATAGATACAGCGATAGCAGGCGGCTTGACGTTTGCGAGGCACTACACATCAAGAAGTCAACACCAGCAATCAACAGCCAATTATTGCACAACTATATTCTACCCACCTCAAGACTCCGCTCCAATATAGAAGCATCAAGAAATATGGACCAATAGGCTTTCTACAAACACTTCTATTCAATATCCATTGTTTCGTGTTCTGTCTTGTGTTGATGAAATTAATACCCTATTAATACTCTTGTTCTGTCTTGTGTTGATGAAATTAATACCCTATTATTACCACATCTTGTTCTGTCTTGTGTTAATGCCACATCACCCCTTCCACCTCACTCAAATGTAGATATAAAATCGGAGATGCGTGAGTTCTATTCAGTTGTGTATTTGTGAACTAAAGTCTTTGAAAATGTAATAAGTTTTACGAAACGCGCTCGTGTCGCGTCAGACTAGAAATAAAAATGAATTTTGGAGAATTGATTTTTGATTTACCTCCAACAGTGAAACGAAATGTACGAAAGATTGAGAAAATTCGTGTTAGAATTATTAATCTTACTTTTTCGGTCATATTTAATAATATATGTCTACAGGAAAGACTGCTACCAAAATATACTAATATATATATATATATATATATATATATATATATATATATATATATATATATATATATATATATAGGCGGTGGTAGGAGAAGACAATGTATAAGTGTATGCGGGTGCCCCACATGGCTCCCCTGGATGCTGCACATTGTCTTCTTCGAGGTCTACGGTCTTTATAAACTCAACCAGACGTGGTACCCCCTTCCTATATCTATCTGTCTATCTATATAAATATAAATGAAAATGTTCGTTTGTTCAAAATCGCTAATCTCCGAATGTTCTTCACCGATTGCTTTGAAATTTTCACATAACGTTCCATTCGCATCCGCTCAAGTTTTTATATACATACTATATAGATATAGTGAAAAAACATGCTTTTTTGAAAAACTATGTTTTTCATTTGTTTTTCATGTGAAGGAGATCTTCGAAACCTCTACCGATTGCTTTAAATTTTTTTCACAACGTTACATTCGAATAGGCACGTGTTTTTTTATACCTACTATATACTTGCCTCACCTGTGACAGGAAAAAACATGCTTTTTTTTAAAAAAACAGCGCCATCTGTTGGATGTAAGAACAACACATGCTGTAATCTCCAAAAGTTCTTCACTGACTGCTTTGAAATTTGGACACAACGTTCTATTCGAATACGCGTGTGTTTTTATGTACCTACTATATAGATGCAACACCTGTGACAGGTATAAACATGCTTTTTCTGAAAAACAGCGCCATCTGTTGCACGCAATAGCAACACACGCTATACTAAATATGTTACGATTGCATTTCAATGTTTCTGATTGCATTGATATATGGAATTTTCATAGATTTATTTATTTTTATTTTTATTTAATTATTTTGTGTGACATTGCATTGGAATTGAGCTGAGTTGTTTACGATACCGTTCATTTCGTAAGTATACATATAGATACGACACCTGTGACAGGTAAAAACATTTGTTTTTAAGATACATCGCCATCTTATGCACGTATGAGCAACACACGCTATCCTAAATATGTTATGATTCCATATCAATGTTTCCGAATGCATTGACAAATTAAATATTCATAGATTTCGATTTATTTTTATTTTGATTAAATTATTTGGTGTGACATTGCTTGGGAATTGAGCTGTGTTGTTTACCATACTGCTCATTTCGTGAGTATAAGTATACATGCCACACCTATGACAGGTAAAAATATAATTTTTTTTTTAAAGCAGCGCCATCTGTTGCACCTAAGAGCAACACACAATACAATAAATATGTTACGATTCGCTTTCAGTATTTCCGATTTCATTGATAAATTGAGTTTTCATAGATTTCGATTTATTTTCATTTTGATTTAATTTTTTTGTGTGACATTGCGTTGGAATTGAGCTGAGAAGTTTACCATACCGTTCATTTCGTGTGCATAGTTTATTTTTTTATTTTTTAATTGTTTTACATTTCGTTTTTTTTTAACTGTTTTTCTTATATTTCAGTGATGGGAACATCAGATCCTTTTGATGTTCCTAATTTTCTGATGGGAACATCAGATTATTTGGGAATGCATCGGACGAGGGAGTGGGGAATGTTGGGGAAGAAGACGGGACAGGTGTGGTAGATGCTGGGGAGGACGAGGAAACGGGGAAGAGGGCAATGGTGAGGAGGACGAGGGAACAGGGGAGGGGGGAATGGTAGGGGAGGACAGGGAGACAGGGGTAGGGTGTTGTGGCTCCCTTCATAAAGTGATAAAGACAATTAATTGCCAATTTTTATATTTACAGATGAATCAGCTGTTATTCCAAGTGGTAGTTCCGGACCACTGGTGTCATGTCCCGGGCCGCGAGACCACAGGAATGTCCACGGACGAGTGGCGGGCTCTGACCATTCCCAGGTATGATGAGTGATTCCTAATTGTCCTCGGGCATGATTGGCCTCACTGGTCAGGCATATTATGTAGTGCACTCATTCTCCTCATGAATGTCAGGTGTGTCTTCAATGTCTCCAGGAATATGGGGTGGGCTCTATGTAACTCACACTCATATGTGACTGTACCTCCGTGTATTCAGATATGTGTATTCTTCTGACTTCTTGTTCCCACGTTGAAACTGGGAGTGTGTTGTGACCCCTCACTCTCCCCAGGCAGGTGTTGTGGGCCCTCACTCTCCCCAGGCAGGTGTTGTGGGCCCTCACTCTCCCAAGGCAGGTGTTGTGGCCCCTCACTCTCCCCAGGCAGGTGTTGTGGCCCCTCACTCTCCCCAGGCAGGTGTTGTGGGCCCCTCACTCTCCCCAGGCAGGTGTTGTGGGCCCTCACTCTCCCCAGGCAGGTGTTGTGGGCCCTCACTCTCCCCAGGCAGGTGTTGTGGGCCCTCACTCTCCCCAGGCAGGTGTTGTGGGCCCTCACTCTCCCAAGGCAGGTGTTGTGGGCCCCTCACTCTCCCCAGGCAGGTGTTGTGGGCCCTCACTCTCCCAAGGCAGGTGTTATGGGGCCCTCACTCTCCCAAGGCAGGTGTTGTGGGCCCTCACTCTCCCCAGGCAGGTATTGTGGGCCCTCACTCTCCCAAGGCAGGTGTTGTGGGGCCCTCACTCTCCCCAGGCAGGTGTTGTGGGGCCCTCACTCTCCCCAGGCAGGTATTGTGGGCCCTCACTCTCCCAAGGCAGGTGTTGTGGGGCCCTCACTCTCCCAAGGTAGGTGTTGAGGGCCCTCACTCTCCCCAGGCAGGTGTTGTGGGCCCTCACTCTCCCAAGGTAGGTGTTGAGGGGCCCTCACTCACTCCAGGCACGTGTTATGGGCCCTCACTCTCCCCAGTTAACATATAAACTGTTAAGAACACTACTGTGGATGTAACATTTCATTCAGGTGGGAGCCTCGAACACCCGACCACACTATAGGACACCAAAGAGCCAGAGCTCAACCCCCGCAAACACAACAAAGGTATTACAGACGCTCTATAAGTTGCGCTACGCTACGGGCCCTGCCTTAAAATGGGAGGATCCCGGGGCAACTAACCGCTACCCAATGGAAGTCACATTGCAGTGATATATTAATGATGATTTATCACGATTTATCAGGCCATTCTGATTTTTTTTTGTGAACTGAAGGAGAGGAATAAAAGTGTGAACACCATTTAAGAACATAAGAACAAGGGACAGCAGGAGGCCTATTGGCCCATACGAAGCAGCTCCTATATATAACCACCCAATCCCACTCATATGCATGTCCAACCCACGTTTGAAACAATCGAGGGACCCCACCTCCACCACGTTACGCGGTAATTGGTTCCACAAATCAACAACCCTGTTACCGAACCAGTATTTACCCAAGTCTTTCCTAAATCTAAACTTATCCAATTTATTCCCATTGTTTCGTGTTCTGTCTTGTGTTGATACTTTTAATACAATATTAATATCCCCCCTTGTTATGTCCATTCATCCACTTGTAAACATCTATCATGTCACCCCTAACTCCTCGCTTTTCCAGTCAATGCAATTTAAGCTTTGTTAATCTTTCTTCATATGAAAGATTTCTAATTTGGGGAATTAACTTTGTCATTATACGCTGGTCACGTTCAAGTGAATTTATATCCATTCCATAGTACGACGACCAAAATTGAACTGCATAATCTAAATGGGGCCTAACCAGAGCAAGATATAGCTGAAGAACCACACCAGGTGTCTTGTTACTAACACTTCGATTAATAAATCCTATTGTCCTATTTGCCTTATTACGAACATTCATGCATTGATCCTTTGCTTTTAAATTCTTACATATTATAACTCCCAGATCCCTTTCGCAATCCGACTTCGCAATCTCAACACCATCTAGCTCGTATCTTGTAACTATCATCGTTACCTAGCCTCCGAGCTTTTCATTTATCAGCATTAAACTGCATCTGCCAATCTTTTGACCCTAAATAGGGTCAAAAGATTTGAACCTATTTAGGGTCAAAACCCTATTTAGATCAACTTGTAGTGATAGTGAGTCTTCTTCCTTGTTAATTTCCCTACTGATTTTTGTATCATCGGCAAATTTGCAAATGTTGCTACTCAAACCTGAATCTAAATCATTTATATATATTATAAACAACAGAGATCCCAGGACAGAGCCTTGAGGCACTCCATTATATATATATATATATATATATATATATATATATATATATATATATATATATATATATATATATATATATGTATATATATATATATATATATATGGCACAACTCTCCTAAACACGAGAGTTAAGTATACAACTTTAGAACACTTTCCCACCAGGAGACTCGAACCCTAGCCAGCACAGAAGCCTTCCAGCAACTGGCATAACAGGTACGTGCAGAGGGTTAAGGCGTACCTGTTATGCCAGTTGCTGGAAGGCTTCTGTGCTGGCTAGGGTTCGAGTCTCCTGGTGGGAAAGTGTTCTAAAGTTATATATATATATATATAAAAGCTAGACATTTTAAGAAACAGAAGCATTGTAAAATATTGAGGTACCTTATATTAATTTCTACCAATTCCCAGATGTGTTTTAGGATTAATTCTGCATGATACAGATAAGTCATCACATAGCCCATATTATATTAATTATAATTCTGAAACAATCCCAAATAATGGCTACAAAATCATTCAAAAAAAAATACACAGCATAATTTTAACCACATCACCGTCACCAAAGAGTCAGTGAATTTTTAAGTGTCTCTCTCAGGTCCAATAGTTCCGGAAGGTACTCCAGCTGCCTCAGGTACAAGGTAACGTGGAGTGGTAACGCAAGCTTCTCACCTAGTGAGGGAGATAGTGCCAGCTTCTCTCCCAGTGAGGGAGATAATGCCAGTTTCTCTCCCAGTGAGGGAGATAATGCCGGCTTCTCTCCCAGCGAGGAAGATAGTGCCAGCTTCTCTCCCAGCGAGGGACGAAATGCAAGTTTCTTCCTCAGCAACAAAACGGAAGGTATGTTTGCCGTAATGTTATATTATCGATGACTTTTGCTAATGAGATTGTATGGAATTTAAGGTACAGCCTATTTTGAAAGAAAAAATCATTATTTTAAAAATTAGCTTCATATATATATATATGATCATATATATATATATATATATATATATATATATATATATATATATATATATATATATATATATATATATATATATATATATATATATATTAGGGGTACCACCTATGGTGCAATTATAGGGACCCACAGCCTCAAAGAAGGGAACACAGAGCATTCAGAGAAAAAACTTGCCATTTAACGGTTTTGAGTGTCCCCACCTAGAATGGGCATCAGGCCAACATACATCAGAAAACTCTTGATCCCTGATGGACTCGAACCCGGACAGCAACTCCTCTCCATACCCCTCACACGCCAAGGGTCGTGAAGGCCCTGGCTGACTAGTGTCAAGAGTATCTATCTATATATGCTATAATAAACCACTAATCTTTTTATTTTTAAATGGTGCTGTACGCATACACGCACTAAGTACACACACACACACACACACACACACACACACACACACACACACACACACACACACACCCACACACACACACACACACACACACACACACGTACTTACGTATCACAACGTGAATAACAGCTGTATTCCGCAGAGTGCCGGAGTGGATGGGAGTTTGACTCTTCGCAGTTCAAGGCGACTCTGGCCACCACCAACCAGTGGTTCTGTGAGAGGGAGAGTTACTCCCAGCACGCCCTCGCTCTCAACATGGCCGGAAACGCTTTCGGCACTTTAATACTACCGTTTATCGGGGACAAATAGTGAGTCCCTTGCTCTTGCTTACAACCATCCGGCCAAGGCTGTGTGTGTGCACCCATCCGGACAAGGCTGTGTGTGTGTGCACCCATCCGGCCAAGGCTGTGTGTGTGCACCCATCCGGCCAAGGCTGTGTGTGTGCACCCATCCGGCCAAGGCTGTGTGTGTGCACCCATCCGGCCAAGGCTGTGTGTGTGCACCCATCCGGCCAAGGCTGTGTTTTAACCTTCCTCGACACTGGAAAGAATGCTTTTGATGATACTAATGTGAAATACTTATATTGTCAATTCTGCCTCAAATATAACAGTGTGTGTTGTGGTGCAACTTTTATCAGCAAAGAGATGCAAGTTGCGATGAAGACATTCTGAATGTTGCAGAGATGAGTAAGCAGGGTGGAGGGCGGGGGTTGGACGTAGCGTACCACACGGGCAGTAATGTAGTAAATACCAGAATGGTTGAATTCGTGTACGTTTAGAAAGGTAATGGGTGTTACATAGGGTGTGATTTAGCAATACGATGAGTGTTACATAGGGTGTCATTTAGCACTACAATGAGTGTTACATAGGGTGTGTTTTAGCAAGACAATGAGTGTTGCCTGTGGTGTGATTTAGCAAGACAATGGGTGTTACATAGGGTGTGATTTATCACTACAATGAGTGTTACATTGGGTGTGATTTAGCACTATAATGAGTGTTGCAATGGGTGTGATTTAGCAATACAATGAGTGTTACATAGGGTGTCATTTAGCAATGCAATGAGTGTTACATAGAGTGTGATTTAGCAAGACAATGGGTGCTGCCTGTGGTATGATTTAGCAAGACAATGAGTGTTACATAGGGTGTGATTTATCACTACAATGAGTGTTACATTGGGTGTGATTTAGCACTACAATGAGTGTTACAATGGGTGTGATTTAGCAATACAATGAGTGTTACATAGGGTTGTCATTTAGCAATACAATGAGTGTTACATAGGGTGTCATTTAGCAATACAATGAGTGTTACATAGAGTGTGATTTAGCAAGACAATGGGTGCTGCCTGTGATATGATTTAGCATGACAATGAGTGTTGCCTGTGTTGTGCTCACGCAAGACAGCGGGTGTCACCAGTAGGTGTAACCATTCTGCATGTTTCAGCGTCGGGCGTCGAGTGATCCTGTACGTGGCCCTGGCGATCCACGTGGTCTTCACTATACCGCTGGTCTGGATCTCCAACGTGGGCTTCCACCTGCTCTTCAGGTTCCTGGCCGGCCTGGGGTACCTCAGCTACAGCCTCGTACCCTATGTCATTGGTAACTATAACTCTCTCCGTCTTTATTATAAGCGCTTATGTCAATTTTCATTTATTGTAAAACAGTCGTATAGTCAATATGGTGGCACTCTAAAATTTGGAGTTGAAATGAAATGAAATCAGTTTTACCAAAAACCTCACCCGACAAACACGACGAAACTACCACGTTGCTACAACGTTCGTACAACTTTTAATACCTAACAAGTTGTAACAACGTTCTAATATGTCATAAGAATGTTATAACAAGATTTACCAACTTTATTACAAGTTGTAATAAGCGGAAAATAGGGTGCAGTTACGGTGTGTGTTTGTAGGGCAGTCATTAAACCCACTGACAGCACACTACTTGGAGCACCTCTGGGCCACAATACCATTGCTGCAGTCCTCGAAAAAGAGTTTAACGATCTAAAAAGGATGGAAGAGAGAATAGGGGACTTGGACTCCTATGATGCCCTCTACCTTTTCACAAAGTGCCTTACCTTACCTAGGCTAACGTACTTTGTAAGGTGTGCACCCACTTTTGGCAACCCAAAAGTTAATATGTGAGTCAATATGATGAGCTCCTCAGGTCAATATTCAGGAAGGCGCTCAACCTAGATTTAGATGACAGTCAGTGAGGCCAAGCAACACTCCCAGTGAGATTTGGGGGGATAGGCATACGAAAGGCAACTGAGGTAGCACTTCCAGTATTCTTATCCTCATATACAGCAGCCAACGAATTAGTAGGGCAGATCCTACCAGAGCGTATGAGAGAGACAGCGAGAACTCATGATCAAAAGTTCACCGAAGCAGCCAGACAATGGGAAACCATTGTACACCCTCTACCCGACCACAAGCCCCAAAAGACCATAAGCAGGCCCACTGGGATAGCCCCATAATGGAAAAGACTGTCACAACAATGCTTGAAAATGCAGATGCTGAAAACAAAGCCCGCCTCCTAGCGGTAACAGCACCCCCACGCCGGGGATTTTTTATTTGCTGTGCCCAATGCAGCCCTGGGAACTCGCCTCAATCATGACGCTCTCCGAATTGGAGTTGCCCTTCGCCTTGGCGCCCCCCATCCTCACTGAACATAGATGCATCTGCGGAATCGCGATGGCAGACGAATATGATCGTCATGGTCTGGTATATCGTAAATCACACGGTAAGATTGCAAGACATGAAGAAGTCAACGATATTATCAGGAGGAGCCTCGCCACAGCCCGCTGCCCGGCACAAAGAAAACCACTTATTCACACCTAACGAACCTCAGAAGCGCCCAGATGGGGTCACCGTACTTCCTTGGATGGATGGTAAGCAAGTGGTGAGGGACTACTCATGCACTTCCACACTGGCCAGTACATACCTCACCCTCAGCACACGCGAAGGGGGCGGCGCTGCTGCTTTCACGGGAAACACAGAAAGCCATTGAATACACTATCTGGTACACTGCTACAGCTATGTTCCGATCGGTTGGGAGATTCTCGGTTCGTGGGGAAAATGTGCATTGTATACAGAAATCGATTTTGATAAAATATTTAACCTACTTAGTCGATCCCCGATGGGACAAGTTGTTGGGCACAGGTCCATCCCTTGCAAGATATATGTAAATAGTCATACTAGCTTAGCGCTTTCACTCGATGATTACCATACTATACTTGCTGGTTGCAGTGGTGGAGACAGTGGGAAGCAGGAGACGCGCCCTCACCACAGGCTTGTACTACGGCACGTGGACGGCCGGAATGTGCTTCACTGCCCTAGTGGCTTTTCTGGTTCCCCACTGGCAGTACCTCGCTCTCATCTCCTGCGTTCCACCCATCATATTCTTACTCTTTCTGCGGTGAGTGATCTTTAGTCCTCCAGTGCTAGATTCTTTTTCCTTCGTTCTTACGGTGAATGTTAATTATTCAAGATTTCAATTATCTTTTTGGTTTTCTTCCTTTGGTAAGTGTTCCTAATTCTTCCAGTGCTGATTTCTTCTTGTCCTTTCTGTGGTAAGTTCTCCTTTTCCTTTATGTGTTAAATCCTTACTTTATTTTTTGTGGGGCGTGTGTTATGACTGAGTGTAGGATTTCTTTTACATTAATCATCTCTCAATCGATCGGGAAATTTTATAATCTCTCTAATGTAGTTTCAGTATCTCTCAAATAATTTTCTTATTGATTATCATAATTAATTAGTGTCTATGTATAGTACGTACGTTATATTAAGCCAGTGAGAGACCAGGATGATTCCAGTAATGAGTTTTGGTCTATTATTAAGACTGTTTTTGCTTCATTGCAAAGAAGTACTTTTCGACATACATGGATATATATTTCGTTGAAAAATAACTATTTTCTTTATTATAAGGAAACACTAAAAAAACCTTTTGAGCTCAGTTTCAATAGTCATTACTTCACGCAACGCAAAATTTGTATTACAAAGAGTAAATTTACAAAACGTTTGAAATTAAAACAGTGAAGCTAAGCGAATATTTATTAATAATTGTGAGCTGTTGATCAAAGTCCTCAGTTGCATTCACTTACTTATTTACGAAAATTTGCCATTCATTTTAGCATATTATTAACGTGAACACTTTAATAGCGCATCATGAATGTTGGTAAAGTAATACACTGAGTGAAAGCATTTTATGTGTCTTCTAACCCAAGTCGGGCTCTTACCAGCCCTATCAAACCCCCCATACATTACGTCCTCCTATGATGGAGTGATAGACGGCCGACAGGCCTTAATAAAATACTTCAGACAGACTAAAGTGAACTACAGCTCAGTAACCCCACCTTGTCTGAATGTCTCCAGAAAAGATTTATGGTTCTACTGTAATTTAATTTTCACATTACATCAAAACCATGTATTTGAACGAATGGATAGTAACGTGTGTTGTTACAGAGGTGCGTGTGTTGTTACAGAGGTGCGTGTATTGTTACAGAGGTGCGTGTGTTGTTATAGAGGTGCGTGTGTTGTTACAGAGGTGCGTGTGTTGTTATAGAGGTGCGTGTGTTGTTATAGAGGTGCGTGTGTTGTTACAGAGGTGCGTGTGTTGTTACAGAGGTGCGTGTGTTGTTACAGAGGTGCGTGTGTTGTTACAGAGGTACGTGTGTTGTTACAGAGGTACGTGTGTTGTTACAGAGGTGCGTGTGTTGTTACAGAGGTGCGTGTGTTGTTACAGAGGTGCGTGTGTTTTATGTACACTTACCTCCATTATGTTAAGGTTGGTTCCTGAGTCGCCACGATGGTTACTGTCCAAGGGTCGAGTGACGGAGTGTGCCAGGATCCTGCTACAGGTGAGTGTACTCACCTAGTTGTACTTATCTAGTTGTGCTTGCGGGGGCTGAACTCTGGCTCTTTGGCCCTGCCTCTCAACTGGTGTGTAGATTCCTGAGCCTACTGCGCTCTATCATATCTATATTTGAAACTGTGTATGGAGTCAGCCGCCACCACATCACTGCCTAATGCATTCCATGTACCAAGACTGTAATGTTTTGTTGCATTATCTGCATGTCTCTTGCAAACTGTCTATACAGTATACCTACGTCATATATGTATGTGTGCGTGTACGTCTGATACCATACTACTTGTGTAAAGGAGGAAATGTATACGTTTATCTCTCAGAATATTTGGTAAAATGTTTATTGTTTGTGATGTGTGTCTATGTATGTATGAACACGTTGTACTGAACTGGGTGAAAATAGTTTGAGCTACCTCATCCCTTTGTGTGTATTTTACCTCAATAAATTTATTTCAATTTCAATTTCAATGCATTCCATCTGTTCACTATTCTGACACTGAAATGGTTCTTTCTAACGTCCCTGTGGCTCATTTGGGTACTCAGTTTCCACCTGTGTCCCCCTTGTTCGCGTACCACCCGTGTTAAACAGTTTATCCTTATCTACCCTAACAATTCCTTTGATAATTTTGTAGGGTATAATTATGTCTCCCTAAGTTCTTCTGTCTTCCAGTGTCATGAGATGTATTTCACTCAGCCTTTTCTCGTAGCTCATGCCTCTTAGTTCTGGGACTTTCCTAGTGGCATACCTCTGAACTTTTTCCAGCTTCATCTTGTGCTTGACAAGGTACGGGCTCCACGCTGGGGCCGCGTACTCCAGGAGTGGTCTTACATATGTGGTATACACGGTTCTAAATGATTCCTTACACATGTTCCTGAAGGGGGCATAATCTTTAAAATCTTTATAAATTAAAAGTTGTTCAATTTGCTTATAAATTTATTTATGAAATGGTTATAGAAAGGGCTGCAACTGGTCCAAGTTTCACCATCACACCCTAAACAGAAAAGGAGAAAAAAAATACACAACGTATTATGCAACGAATGTTCAACATTCTCAAATAATCTCAGGGAACACATGTGTCAACTAAAATGTCTACTATGTGCTGTAGAAGCACAAACTCTTGTAATAATTGTAATATGTATGTGCAATATATTTATATGTAAATTTTTTTTTTTTCTTTTTTTTTTTTCTTCTTTTTTTTGGCCAATTTTTTTTTCGTTTGTTATCAAGGGATTTGCATGAAACTTGCACACCTTGCTCAATGGATGCCTATCTGCATGGGTGCCAATTATGAACGAAATCTGTCGAAGTCAAGCTCAGCTACAGGTGGCCGAACTTTGATCTTTATTTTACTCAGGAAAGTAATTTACAACTTCAAAGTACTTCATAGCTTTCATTTATTAATCAATTTACATGCAAATTACACCTTATATGTAGAGTTTGTGCTTCTACAGTACATTGTAGACATTTTAGTCCAAAGTCCATTTGTTGATTTTATAAAAAATTCTAAACATCATATATTGCATATTTTTGGAAGGGTAACTTTGAATAATTATATTATTGGACTAAACACTTTTTTGATAAAACTACTCACATCATTCCTTTATTATATGCTAATTTTAATATCTGAGTGTTATAGAAAGCATTTTAGTTGACACATGTGTTCCCTGAAATTATTTGAAAATGTTGAAAAATCGTTGCATAATATGTTGTGTATTTTTTTCTCCTTTTCTGTTTAGAGTGTGATGGTGAAACTTGGACCAGTTGCAGCCCTTTCTATAACCATTTCATAAATAAATTTATAAGCAAATTGAACAACTTTTAATTTATAAAGATTATGCCCCCTGAAGGCACTTCTGATGCTACCCAGTGTGTCAGAACCCCTGCTGCTGATGTTGTGTTCTTGCTAGTAATTCGTGCTCTGATTTCGAAGTTGTCTTTCGAGAAAACATTTCCAATTCTATTATTTACTTAGGGCAAGCGGACTCGGTTTTCATCTTTGTGGAATTAATTTATACACCAAATTACTGAAATTCAATGTGACTCGTCTCTCCTTGGTTGAACAACAAGACAGTTATTTTCTAACAACAAGAGTGACAAGATTCGATGCTCTCTGTTGCAACATTAAATGCTTTCCAGATGTTAATTAATTAAGTTGGTGCTTGCAGGTAAGCTGCTTTATGGATGTGAGGCAAGGCTCTAGCAGGTGCTTTGACTGCTTCTATATGCATGTTTTAACTACCAGTGGTTTAATTATTATTTTCTATAATTTACCATTATATGGGCAAGTTATAATAGCTGTTCCCGTGGCGCAGTGGTAAAACATTCGTCCCTACACTTCACGAGCGATTTGACCTGGGTTCGTATCCTGGTCGGGAAGGATTGACTAGGCGCCAATCCTTAACTGTACGCCCCTGCCACCCAGCAGTGATTGGGTACCTGGTTATTAAACGATTTGCCGGGTCATATTCTAGGGAAATTTAGGATTAAGGACCTGACCGAAACGTTATGCGTGCTCAACCCGTTCTCGCACTTTCTTACAGTCAATATTGACTTATTAAATAAGTGCATATGTGACATACTAATATATTGTGAATATTTTAGTTTACCTTGAAAAGCTTCATAGAAAACACCGACATTACCTAACCTTCTTAGTATGTTAAGATAAGCATCTTATTGCTTCGTAATTACAATAATTACCTAACCTATACCTATAATAGGTTAAGTAATAATTGTAATTACGAAGCAATAAGATGCTTATCTTAACATACTAAGAAGGTTAGGTAAGGTCGGTGTTTTCTATGAAGCTTTTCAAGGTAAACTAAAATATTCACAATAAATTAGTATGTCACATATGCCCTTATTTAATAAGTCAATATTGACTGTAGGAAAGTGCGAGAACGGGTTGGCGTGCTAGTGGCTTCACAACAATGTAAGAACTCTTATATATATATATATATATATATATATATATATATATATATATATATATATATATATATATATATATATGTCGTACCTAATAGCCAGAACGCACTTCTCAGCCTACTATGCAAGGCCCGATTTGCCGAATAAGCCAAGTTTTCATGAATTAGTTGTTTTTCGACTACCTAACCTACCTAACATAACCTAACCTAACTTTTTTGGTTACCTAACCTAACCTAACCTATAAAGATAGGGTAGGTTAGGTTAGGTAGGGTTGGTTAGGTTCGGTCATATATCTACGTTAATTTTAACTCCAATAAAAAAAAATTAACCTCATACATAATGAAATGAGGAGCTTTGTCATTTCATAAGAAAAAAATTAGAGAAAATATATTAATTAATGAAAACTTGGCTTATTTGGCAAATCGGGCCTTGCATAGTAGGCTGAGAAGTGCGTTCTGGCTACTAGGTACGACATATATATATATATATATATATATATATATATATGCAACAATGATCACAAAAACACTGATCCAAGTATGCAGAATAACCACATGTGAAAAATAGAAAATGCATAACGCGTTTTCGGCTAATTCGCCTTCATCAGAGCAAAGTAGAATCAAGATTCAGAGCAAAGATTCTACTTTGCTCTGATGAAGGCGAATTAGCCGAAAACGCGTTAAGCATTTTCTATTTTTCACATGTGGTTATTCTGCATAACCACATGTGAATATATATATATATATATATATATATATATATATATATATATATATATATATATATATATATATATATATATATATATATATGTGTATATCACGAAAATAAACACGTGATTAAGAATGTGGCAATGTCAGACCACGGAGGAAAAATGAAACAGGAAATTTCCTTAAGTACTTTCGTATATTAAATACATCTTCAGAAGGACCTTCTGAAGATGTATTTAATATACGAAAGTACTTAAGGAAATTTCCTGTTTCATTTTTCCTCCGTGGTCTGACATTGTCATATATATATATATATATATATATATATATATATATATATATATATATATATATATATATATATATATATATATATATATATATATATATATATATATATATATATATATATATATATATATATATATATATATGATAGAAAAAAATCATGAAAAACCTAACATGATACATTTAAACTGCCTTGAATGTATTTTTAACAATAACCTATTATGTATTTGAGATTCATGAAAAGTATATTGACGTAACTACAAAATTTATACCACGAAATCACATAAATGTAATGTTTGTTTTAGAATAGGTTGTACGATGGGATCGAACCTTCACCCTAGGGATCCCCCGTCATGTCCGCAGTTCTGTGCACATGCACTTCCGAAGATGTCAAGATACTTTCAAGCTACTATTACTATTACTTATTACTTATTAATATTACTATTACTTATCAAGCTACTTTACTATTTTTGTCATTGTGGTTTAGTCAGTGGTGCGTGTGCTAGAGAAGTTGGTCCAGAGGAGCGGGAAGGACCACCTCGTATAGTTCCATTATATTCTCAATAAAACTTGAGTTCAATTTTGTCTTAAAACCCCCATCCATCAGGTAGCGAAGACAAACGGGAACCAGGAGGTGACGAAGCAAGACCTGAAGAAGAAACTCTGTGACATTGTGGACAAACAGGTGGAGGAAGTCAGCATTAAGAATGCCTTGCGCTACCCGATACTTCGCTGGAGGCTCGTCAGTCTGCTCACCATAGCGTATGTGATCTATTCGTTTTAATTAACACACTTAGGTACAACTGCATATGCGGAGTTACTATAGGGTATATGAAGGGGAGTACAGTGTCAAAAGCTTGACGCTGTACGCTCTACGTGATGCTAAAAATCCCCATCACACAGGATAGTTAGTGATACAGGGCCATGTGATCAGTAGTCTGCACTGGCAGACTCTTCGTGCATTGTGATTATAATCATCAAAAACCACCAGAAGGGAAGGTAAGGGAAGGGAAGGGAAGGGAAGGGAAGGGAAGGGAAGGGAAGGGAAGGGAAGGGAAGGGAAGGGAAGGGAACTATCAGGGGAAAGCGCCAAGCAATTATGACTATATGACACAGGAAGGGGTCAGGATAAGGATTTGGGATGGGACAGGGGAGAAAGGAATGGTGCCCAATCACTTGCACGGTCGGGGATTGAACGCTCGAATTCTCAACACCAGAGTGAATAATTTAAGGTAGGAAACAATAATAATAAGGTAGCAGTGATATTAAAATGTTCCCATCTCGCAGGATGGTTAGTCATACAGGGCCATATGTTCAGTAGCTTGCACTAGTAAATTTTGGGTGAATTATGGGGATATCGTCAATATACCATTCAAGTCCTACTCTGAACGTTTCAGTATTCCGAGTTTGCAGTGAAGTGCTTTCCACAGTTTTCTGTACTACTCGTAATTGTAACTATGTACTGAGCTATTCGCACTCATGTAGACGACTGTGTCCTTAAACTATCCATAAGCATTCACACAACTTCACTCCTAACTGAGCGATGCACAGTCATGAACTCTTAAGTAAGAAGCAGGATCTCAGTGCTCAAGACAACTGATGTTTCAAAATGATTGAACAAATACTGTTATGACTCGCCCTAACGACACCGTAATTTCATAGCTTTCATGTTATGGAGTGAACTATTTGGTTCAGTTTGCCACTCTTGAGATGAGAACTAAAGAGATCATCATTGTTTGATCATCTCTCACAAAACGTGAGAGATGAAGTTTTTTTGTGTGTAAATTTCTCTCCAATTCACGTAACAACTAAAAGTGAAAATCATAACTTGTTGTGTAGTTGTAGGGTTGTTTATTATTGTTGAGTATAAGAATTCTTCAGCTTCTGCTCGACGTCATTAAACAGCGAATGATAAACAGATTCTCTGCAACACTTCTACCCCAGAAAACATTTGAGAACTAGAGCAGGCCTTACGCGATGTTCGAGGAATTGGTGAACAGTGGTAAAAATTTTGTGTTAATAAACGTTCACTATACTCACCTTAACCACACGTTTAGGTCGATGCTTTTGGTGCAGACATTCGTTTTAATAGAACCATTATAAATAGACACTAACAAAACAGTCTCCTTGACAGTACGAATGGGTATTGTTTTATTTTTACATGATCTTTGCAACATTAAGAGGTAGGAGTTTACTCCGTACAGAAATAAATGTATTCCATTTTCTGTGTAGATTAAAGCCTCTATTCAAAAGGATAACTATGATAATTCCCGAGTTTATTTATAAACTCGATACTTTTATTTAGAAATGCCTTGTGATCTTGTCTTTATATCATCGCTTATTTTATCCTCTTTCTGTTATTTCTATGTTTTCCGCTTCATTCCCTATGCTCCTTGTTTTTGCTTCCTGCTGACCAGGACATATCTTTTTGTCCAATTTATGGTCACCAGATTGTCCGCCTGTAGCGTTCTTGCCTCCTGCTCCTCTTTCTCCCTCTAGCTTCCACGTCTTCCTGTAAAAGTAACCCGGAAGCTTATTACTCCATACGCCTCACTCTACGCCAATTGAGTGGTAGGCGTATCACCAGTAAATGTCCTTCCCGTGTTGAACGGAGCTTAGGGAGCTGGTCGGCCGAGCGGACAGCACACTGGATTTGTGATCCTGTGGTCCCGGGTTCGATCCCGGGCGCCAGCGAGAAACAATGGGCAGAGTTTCTTTCATCCTATGCCCCTGTTACCTAGCAGTAAATAGGTACCTGGGTGTTAGTCAGCTGTTACGGGCTGCTTCCTGGGGGTGGAGGCCTGGTCAAGGACCGGGCCGGGGGGACACTAAAAACAAAGCCCCGAAATCAACTCAAGATAACCTCAAGAAGGTGACGCTGGAGTGTCGGGCACAGGGCACAGGGCACAGGGCTGGGCAGCAGTTATGGAGAACCGGCTGTTGCCCATGCAGCAGATCTACCCTCTCCACGCCACCGATGTGGTCCAAGGGAAGGGCAGGCGCCGATATGCTTGGCAGAAACAGTAAAATCAATCAAGTACAGGCGACTGGAAGGTCAATACACCTTTGTTCCAATACCATCTGAGATGCATGGCCGCCTTGGGATTTCTTAAAGAATTGGGCTCCAGGCTCGTTGACATCACCACAGACCCAAAGGCTGCCTGTTTCAGTGCTTCAGTGTGGCGATCCAGAGGGGAAACGCCTGCTGCGTATATATATATATATATATATATATATATATATATATATATATATATATATATATATATATATATATATATATATATATATATATATATATATATATATATATATATATATATGTTGTACCTAGTAGCCATAATGCAGTATTGGGCCTACTTTGCAAGGCCCGATTTGCCTAATAAGCCAAATTTTCCTGAATTTATATGTTTTTCTATTTTTTCCCCTATGAAATGATAAAGCTATCCATTTGATTATGAATGAGTTAATTTTTGGTAATTTGAGTTAAAACTAACGTTGATATTTGACCGAACTTAACCAACCCTACCTAACCTAACATAACCTAACCTATTTTAACCTAACCTAAACTAACATAACTAAGTCTATAATTTATGTTCTTAATATAATATAATAATAATAATAATTGAAATAAACCAATTTAATTTTTTTTTAATAAAGAAAATCACTCGGCCTATTAGGGAAATCGGACCTTGCATAGTAGGCCGAATAGTGCGTTCTGGCTACTAGGTACGACGATATATATGAAAATCTCTGATATTTGACACACATACATTTTTACCGAAACATATATGTGCTGCAGCATTTGTTTTGTATAATAATAATGTGTACATAGCTTACTCATATACCATACTCACATCCCGCAGAATGTGTGTGTACATGTCGTACGGAGTGATCCTGATGGGCATCAACGTCCTCCCAAGCAACTACTTCCTGAGTCACTTTATCCTGTCGGTGAGTCAGCTGCCAGCGACTGCCACCAGCTGGGTGTTCATGCAGTACCTGGGACGTCGCTTCTCCTCCATGGCCTCTGCGCTGCTCTTCATCGTCCTCTGCGTCGTGGCTACTTTTTGCACACACGGTAAAGATCTCTTGTGGTGAGCCGTCGGACAGCCTCGTCCTCGTCTCCCGTCCTGCCTTTCTCCCTTTCCCTCGTCCTCTCCACCCTTCCCCTCGTCCTCCCTCTACCCCCAATCATTATCCCCCTCACCGTCCTTCCCTTGCCCCGCTTCTTCCATCTCGCTCTTCTCTTACATAAGGTATCAATCTCCTTCTCCCACCAGTCTCGTCCTCCCGCTCCCCCCTCGTACCCTCCCGAGACCTTTCTCCACCATTGCCCCTCTCTCTCTCTCTCTCTCTCTCTCTCTCTCTCTCTCTCTCTCTCTCTCTCTCTCTCTCTCTCTCTCTCTCTCCTAGAACATAACTAATAGAGTAATAAGAGCCAGCATCATTGTGATTATAGTATTCAATAACATTAACTCAGAATATAATAGTTCCCTCTTTCGAATTTGTGCTTTGCCCTTCACTTTTCAATGGGGGGGGGGGGGGGAAGAAATTCAGATTTAATTTTCGTGTTTAATGGAATTATGGTCAAAGTTTATATACTTAGAAATGTCTGTTAGTTTTTCCGAGATCAATAATGTTGTATATTTGAATAAGAAATTAGTTCTGAAATTTGTTTAAAAATATTTTCATAGATATACTGATGGGCAGTATGCCTATGAAAAATACCAGTATACCATAAAAATGTCGTGGGGGTCTAAATGGGACACTGGTACACTGTTCCCTTTTTAATGCTGGTGAACCCGATTAGCTTGTTTTCATCCCGCACCCTTGACCATTCCTTCTGACAATTTCGGTGAGGCTAGCCCTAAGCGTCTGGCCTAAAACTTTGCACAGACATTCTCTCATATAGTATAAATACACTTAGAATGGGTTCAGTGAACAGTATCATCAGGGAAAAGGAAACGTACCCAAATATAAATTTCCTACTTGGGGACTCGAACCTGAGACCTGTCGATTGTGAGCAAACTGCGATGGAGGTTGCGCTACAATCGCTCCATAGCAGATTAATATAACTAACTGCACCTGCATCATACATACCACTGAGATCAGGCAATTAAACATAGCCTGAATACCGTTTCCCCCGCACATGGTACACAGACGCGTGGGCGCTGGTGGTGGTGATAGGAGCTCTGAGACTGTGTCTGGCCGTGCAGATGCAGGTGATGTTTGTGCAGGTGGTGGAGCTCCTGCCCACCCCCGTCAGGAGCTCCGGCCTCGGGCTCTACACCGTCTTCGGGCTGTGTGCCATGACAGCCTCTCCCTATATCCTCCATGTGAGTCTTGGTTTTGAATGTTTTTTGTCAATGGTTTATCTATTGCTTTTGTTTGCTTGGAGGGGAAGGGGTTTGCTTGGCCCCTTCAAACAATCTTTGTTTGCTCCATAGCATAATACACATGTTGTTTGTTACGTATTGCCATACACTCGTTGTTCCCTAGCGCCGTACACTCGTTGTTTGTTCCTTAACGTTTACCTGTAATATTATTTATGTATATTATTTCCCATACACATTTAATTCCTGCAATAACTTTCTGGTGTAACTGACCAATAATATCGTGAAATGTTTCAAGTGTGTACCACACTGACACAGAACTATGACGTTCCAGTCTGGCCAGGGTTCCAGCTTCCACTACTGGGTGTTGGTGGGACTCATGTTACTCTCCCTCATCCTCTGCATCCCTCTACCGGAGACTCTGGGGCATGCCTTACCCCAGACCTTCCAGGAGGCCGAGGACCTTGGTTTTGGAAGACCCATGGCTACCTGGATCCACCACTGGAATCTCCACAAATATCCAGCCGCCTCCAATGCGGCTTGTTCTACCTGCAACTCCTGCAACCCAGACGAGCTGGAGCCACTGCAAGATATCGAAAACAGTACTTAACACTCCGTAAAGTTAATATCTATTCGAGTGTACAGTTTATCGTGGGTAATAATTATCCATTCATCTGCACAAATAAATAACATTCATGTGTATATCGATGAGAAAATCAGTAGGAGCCGTGAGGTGGATTCCAACCTATGCACTCTTTGTGCATATGAAGAACACAGATGCGTCGTGTGCTTGGAAAGTATCTTTTGTATCATTGTTCACAAACATAGATATCATAGTCTGTCTTCGTAGCTGTCGGCAAAGTTATTATCTATTTACACGTGTCTCGTGAATCAACATAACGCTAATTATTGTTCAACACAGCATAAGTCTGAAGGAGATGAGCGTGTACTCACCTAGTTGTGCTTGCGGGGGTTGAGTTTCGGCTCCTTGGGCCAGCCTCTCATCTGTCAATCACCTGCTGTAGAAATTGCCGAGTCTATTGGGCTCTGTCATGTCAACGCTTGAAACTGTGTATGAAGTCTGCCTAATGAATTCCATTTGTTAATTACCCTGACACTGAAAAACTTCTTCCAACGTCCATGTCGTTCATTTGGGTTCTAAATTTCCACCTGTCTCCATGCTCGCGTACCACACATGGTAAAACAAATTATCTACCGTGTCAATTCCTTTGAGAATTGTATAGGCGTCTTAATATTTTCCCTAACTTTTCTGTCTTCCAGTGTCGTGAGGTTTAGTTCCAGTAATCATTCCTCATAGCTTATACTCCTCAGCTCGGGGACTATCCTGGTGCGATACCTCTGAACCTTTTATTACTTCATTTTGTATTTGACTAGATATGGACTTCTCGCTAGAGCCGCATACTCCAGTATTGGTCTGACATTTGTGGTATAAAAGGTTCTGAAGGATTCCTTACTCAAGTTCCTAAAGCGATTCTTATGTTTGTCAGCCTTGCATATGCTGCTGATGAAATACTTTTCATATGGGCTTCAGGGGACAGGTCTCACGTGATATATCAACCGGCAGATCTCTCTCTTCCTGACTCCAGAAGGATTTCAACTCCGAACTGGTACCTTGTGTTTGGCCTTCTGCTCCCTGAACCTATCTTCATCATTTTACACTTGCTTGCCTTAAACCCTAGCAACCATTTTTGGACCATTCTTTCAGTCTTTGCAGGTCATCTTGAAATCTCTTGTTGTCCTCCTATGTCTTATCCCTCCTCATAATTTTAGCATCATCAGCAAACATTGAGAGGAATGAGTCTATACTCTATGAGAGATCATTTACATATATCAGAAACAGGATAGGTCTGAGTACAAAACCCTGTGGGACTCCACTGGTAACTTCACGCCATTCTGAGGTCACACTCCTCAAAATAACTCTGTTGCCACAACACTCAGCCTTAAGACTTGTCAACTTGAGTTTGGCCAGACACAGCACAGGCCACCATTGACCTTCCACACATCCGTCAAGCTGGCTACACTGACAACCACAGCCCCCTCAACACACCTCAGTAGCTGACTATACTGACATAACCCCAGCCCCCTCAACACACCTCAGTAGCTGGCTACACTGACATAACCCCAGCCCCCTCAACACACCTCAGTGGCAGGCTACACTGACACAACCCCATCAACACACCGCAGTGGCAGGCTACACTGACACAACCCCATCAACACACCGCAGTGGCAGGCTACACTGACACAACCCCATCAACACACCGCAGTGGCAGGCTACACTGACACAACCCCATCAACACACCGCAGTGGCAGGCTACACTGACACAACCCCATCAACACACCGCAGTGGCAGGTTACACTGACACAACCCCATCAACACACCGCAGTGGCAGGTTACACTGACACAACCCCATAAACACACCGCAGTGGCAGGTTACACTGACACAACCCCATCAACACATATTCATCCTTCTCAAGAAACCGATATTTTAGCGTCTCTGCAACACACTGGGGAAATATGCAACAACTCAAAAAGTTAGTTTTACCCTCCCCGTGGACCGGGAAGGTTGCTACTGCTCAACCTATATTAAAACCCTTCGTATTTTCCCCCCAAAAAATATTTCTGTACTGATGAAGAATGACTTTTTCCTTCTTACTGTGCATGTTAATTTCTTCAACACTTTTGTGTAATCTATAATATTTTTCAAATATTTTATTTATGAATCAATAGGTAAATATATCTTTGCACGTAAATCAGTTAAAATATCAATTTTAATTAATATTGTAAATTTACAATAGAGCAGAGGTTGACTAATTCTTAAGTACAACCTAATTTCTGTATTATGTATCAGTTTTTAATTATTTAAATTAATGGCAATGAAAATAAAACTTGTTCTTTTACAGAGCTCAGTGTTATCTTATACATCTTTTTTTTACACCTGCAAATGTTCTTTGCAAATTAAGTACATATATGTAAAAAGAACAAAAGCTGTAGTGTAAATATTTGAATAAAATTTTATGCAAGTCATGTCTAAATTGAGATAATATTCGCAATAAGAGTGTAATAGCGTTTATTTTTACCTTTCCAATTACCATTTTGATATGGAGTGGTGAAATATAACTACAGATTTGCTTGAAACGCCATTCATCCTGAGCGTCACTGCTTTAGCTTCACTAATGTCTCGATAGAGGTCACAAGAGGGTTATCGTTTTGCCAATCAGAGAGAAAGTAACGCTGTCCATCTTAAAGTCTAGCCAATCACGGAGCTAGCTCATCGGCCTTCACCTGCCACTAATTTATGTCGTATTTTCTTATAAAATTAGTTTATTTATAAGTAAAACTATTTTTTTTTCAAGTTATATAATAGTTTATTTATAAGTAAAACTATTTTTTTTTCAAGTTATATAGTCAGCATCGACATTGTAGTAAACTAATATGTTCATTTTTTCCTTACCTTCATAAAAGATATTGAGGGGCTCTCGTTGGCTCCGTGTAAATGGACGTCAAGAAACCCTAATCAAAAACATGTGTAACTTTGCTCTCTGATAAGTAGTATTCCCTATTGATGGAATCATAATAACTGGTATAACTCTGTCGTCCTCTTGGTATAAAATGTAGGCCTTACTAAAATGTAGATACAAATGCAGGCCTTACTAAAATGTAGATACAAATGCAGGCCTTACTAAAATGTAGATACAAATGTAGACCTTACTAAAATGTAGATACAAATGCAGGCCTTACTAAAATGTATATACAAATCTAGACCTTACTAAAATGTAGATACAAATGCAGACCTTACTAAAATGTAGATACAAATGCAGGCCTTACTAAAATGTAGATACAAATGCAGGCCTTACTAAAATGTAGATACAAATGTAGACCTTACTAAAATGTAGATACAAATGTAGACCTTACTAAAATGTAGATACAAATGTAGACCTTACTAAAATGTAGATACAAATGCAGGCCATACTAAAATGTAGATACAAATGTAGGCCTTACTAAAATGTAGATACAAATGTAGACCTTACTAAAATGTAGATACAAATGCAGGCCTTACTAAAATGTAGATACAAATGCAGGCCTTACTAAAATGTAGATACAAATGCAGGCCTTACTAAAATGTAGATACAAATGTAGACCTTACTAAAATGTAGATACAAATGCAGGCCTTATTAAAATGTAGATACAAATGTAGGCCTTACTAGCGGATCTTTGTTCATTACAGAATTTATCATCAGGGGGCCTGATCATTACAGGGCAGAGATGCGAAACGCTGACACTATATTTACCAGAATTTACCCAAAGGCCACTAACACTCTAGTGGCCACGACGAGGACAGGAAACCTTGTTAAAGGTTGGCCATTTGTTCTGATGATATTTTCTAGCTGGATTTTGATGTTCAACGGAGTTTTGGTATTTATGACTTCAGCGGGTAGTCGGTTCCATGCTTTTTATCTGATTTACCTGAAGGAAACTAATAATAATAATAATAATAATATTAATAATCTTTATTCCCAAGAAGGTACAATGGGTTGGCGAGGTTACATAAGATTGGCATTTTTACATTCTTACAAAGCCACTAACACGAATAGCGTTTCGGACAGGTCCTTGATCTAACATATCAGGTAAGTTGAAAAGGAGCATTGTAGCAAAGTTATGTATCAACATTTAACTGCAACAAAAATTGACACTGGTGAAGATACATGTGTTAAGTACTAATATTGGGAAGTGGGTAGTACAAGATACACTAGTGGCCTTGACGAGGATAAGAAGCCGGCGGCTTGTCGAAGGTTTCCCCAATTTGCCTCGATCTTTTCCAGGTGGATGTTAAAACCTAACAGTATTGGCATTTGCGGCTTCGGCAGGTAGGCGATTCCATGGGTTTATAACCCTATGGGTGAAGCAACCTGCTCTCGCACAAGACAGCACACATATGACTTATAGCTTAAAGTCACTATTTCATTTATAAATAAGTATATATGTGACATATTCCAAGCCATATTTTTTCAAAGTACTAACTTTTTTCTCTCAGTTTTATTAAACAACAGAGATTTTATACAAAATTTGACAATATCCTAAGTTCCTTTACAACTTATTTAAATATTTTAGTTTTGTTTTATTATTTTTATAAAACTGTAATATCAATATAGGTATAGGTTCAGTACTAACTGTAATATCTTAACATAAGGTTAAGAAGGTTAGGTTAGGTTTTGGTTTTCTATTCAGCTTTTCAAGGTAAACTCAAATATTCACAATAAATTAGTATGTCACATATGCACTTATACATAAGCAAGATATTGACTATAAGTAAGTGCGAGAACGGGTTGGGGTGAACAGACATCTATTTTCAATCCTATTTGAGATACCTTAGTAATAAAAGTTTTAAATTTGTTCCTTTTATGTTCCACTATTTGTTATACTTTTATGTCTAAAGATTTTGGTGTCGACAACCAAAGAAATTTGTTTAGATTCAATTGGCATATCAAAATTAATTAATTACTAAGTAAAATGTATGGTACAAATTTAAATTAGTTTGTCTATCAAATAAAAATAAACCTAAGTCTGTAGATGCAATGTATTTTGATATTAAACCAATTATGCATTTTGCTAAAGTTATGCTCCGCCCTACTTATGCAAATTGAGTTCCAATGTTTTGGAAGACAGTTATATAACTTATTTGTAAAGCAGTTACAACAATATAAACATTATTACTAGAATGTGGATTATATAAACTCTCCTTCCAACACTAGTAAATAATATTATTTAAGTATTTGGTAGCAGGACATTACAAATCAGATAACCAAGCACCAAACAGGGTAACATCATTGTTAAACATATCTTAAGTTCATAAATGTTAACCATGGATCATTAGGATCTCATATTGGTGTGTTATGCTAGTCATATTTTTTTTAGTCATTCATTAAATTGTGCAGTATGTCTTAATTTGGGTTCATTTCTGATTGAGATTTGACAGAGTTTTCAAAATTACTTGTATTACCTTGCTCTGAATTGACAGCGTGAGTATTAACTCATATGGCAAAGTAATTATAAGGAAAAAATGCAGGAAAGCCAGTATGACTATATTGAATGGGTATACAGTACAAAAGATAGGATAAACATAAGCCAGAAATATCCTGTGGTCCTGGGTTCGATCCCAGGCACCGGCGAGAAACAATGGGCAGAGTTTCTTTCACCCTATGCCCCTGTTACCTAGCAGTAAAATAGGTACCTGGGTGTTAGTCAGCTGTCACGGGCTGCTACCTGGGGGTGGAGGCCTGGTCGAGGACCGGGCCGCGGGGACACTAAAAGCCCCGAAATCATTTCAAGATAACCTCAAGATAGTACGTGGGTGAAGCATTTACAGCGTTGTGGTTCGAACAAAATTCGTAAGTGAAGCACTTGTTCCGGAAATGTTCGAACGTCATCAGTTATGAGTCGTGTGTAAACCGTTTTTCATTCATAGACAGTATGTGGTTTGGCTGGTGCATGGAATCACTTTTGGGTCTTTGTTTGGAGGACGGGCTGAAAAGGTAATACGGTCGGGTTCGTTCTTGACTCACAATCGGGAATTCCGGATTTGAATCCTGGGCGGGACAGAATGGTTGGGCACATTTCTTATCGCCTAATGCGCCTGATCACCTAGCAGTAAGTGGGTACCCAAGAGTTAGTCAGCTTGTTGTGGAATTGCATCTTTGGGAGGGTTGGTAATTCGACCCTTTGGAAGGGCGAAGGGGACTTCGGTATAAGCCTAATATATATATATATATATATTTACACTCTGGCTGCCTGTCCCCGACACAACGAATTATAATTATTAATTATATACATGTTAGACCTGTATCGAGGTGCACCCCCCTCAAAAAAAAAAAACAATTACTGACCCCCACAGGATGCAGCCTCATAACAAGCTGAGTAACTCCTGAGTAGCTGTACTTACTGCTGGATGAACAGGAAATTAGGTGAGAGTAAATGCTCCCAAACTTGCATGTCTAGCCCGGGATCATCACCTACTAATATATTTCAAGTTCACCAGTGACTATTTACTTAATAACTACTGGAATAATACTGTGCTATGATAAATTTATTTATAATTTCATACAAGACATATTTACTACAATTTACAAGATGAAACTGCATATATAGCAAACATGAAGGACCCTCTTCTTCTTCTTGATGATACGTGCAGCTGAGACTCACCAGCAGAAATATTCAGTTTATTATTAAATTTCAATCCTCGGGTTTGTGTAGTAGACACCACCGTGAGTTCAACCCGTTCTCGCAAATTCGTATAGTCAATATTGACTTATTAACTACGTGCATAGGTGATATACTAAACATAATAGATACCCTTAAAAAGCTTCATAGAAAACACCGACCTTACCTAACCTTGTTAGTATCTTAAGATAAGCATCTTATTGCTTTGTAATTACAACTATTACTTAACCTATACCTATAATAGGTTAAGTAACAATTGTAATTACGAAGCTATAAGATGATTATCTTAAGATACTAACAAGGTTAGGTAAGGTCGGTGTTTTCTATGAAGCTTTTTAAGGGTATCTATTATGTTTAGTATATCACCTATGCACGTAGTTAATAAGTCAATATTGACTATACGAATTTGCGAGAACGGGTTGAACTCACGGTGGTGTCTACTACACAAACCCGAGGATTGAAATTTAATAATAAACTGAATATTTCTGCTGGTGAGTCTCAGCTGCACGTATCATCAAGAAGAAGAAGAAGAGGGTCCTTCATGTTGGCTATATATGCAGAACGGGTTGGTGAGTTATATGCGGTTTACGTAAAGCTACAACTGGCCTGGAGATGTCGTAGCGTGAGACGGTGTTCTTAGGAAGATCCGCGTTCTTAAATGATTTCCTGAATCCCGACGTAACCGCCACGACGATGGTAAGAACGAAAACTTTCCTATATACTTCTCTAAGTTCTTCGTGAATCTGGCCTTAAAATCTTATGGAAACTTAATACGTGGAAGTGCTCATGTAACCTTGGTCTCTAGATGGCGTGATACGTGAAAGCAACTTTGACTCATATTAA